GTCTATCATGAACAGGCATTATAATAGATATACTCCCTAATTCTATGACCAAATGGATAGTCAACTCCATCGTGAGGTGGGAGGGTGCCAGCCGTCATCAAGGCATGTTTCAAAGTAGAAGGGATTCTTAAGAATTTAACAACATATAATAAAAGGAACTTATTACTTGACCTTGGGAACGGGAATTTTTTACTTTGAATTATATATATAGAAAATTACTACACCATGAAGGATTCCTTAATCTGCTCCTAGACATTTCTAGGCACAGTTTTTATCCCACATGGCTGCTTTATTCCCTTGGCTTCACTGTGTAGCAAGGTCCCTTCTTCTAGAAAGTGCCCCTAGGGAGGGAAAGGACTGTGGCCTCTACCACCTTTCCCTTTGCAGAGCTGAATACAAATAGCAAGCGGGTCTCTGGGAAAGACAAACTTGACCTGTGGTGGGGAATAGTCACAGCTTCCGAGGGTTTAGAGACAAGTACAAAAAGAGCAGAAGAGAAGAAATGACAGAATCAAGGTTATTTTTACAGTTTAAGAGAAATGTCAAGAGAAAGAAGCAGGAGAATCTTAGCAGCTCCAGTTGATAAATAGCGAGGCTTCCTCTGCTTTAATGACTGCCACAGGATGTCTGGAGCATACAATGATTAAGGAAAGGTACCAGCTGGGAGGAATGACTGAGGCAGCCCACAAGTGACATCCCCAGAGAAGACCCCATGCCAGAGGATGTGGGGAAATGGAGCAAGAGTAGAGGAGTAGGCAAAATCTGCCTGGATATAGGCCAGGCAGATCTATTAATATTTATTCGTTTAATGCAGAGTTATTGTACATACCGCACACATTGTATTGTGCTAGGAGCTGGAAGAACTGAGTCAAATTAGACACTGCTGTGCCCTACTCGTGATCTGGAGAGGGACAGATATGCAAGTGAGCAACTGGAATACAATGAGGTCATTGCTGTGATGAAGGCTGGCACGAGTTGCCCAATGTGAGTTTAGGAAGGAGGCTGAGTCTGTCTGAGGGAATCCAGGGAGGCTTTCCAGAGGAGGCAGTACTTACATGGGAACCTGAAGGATGAGTAGTAGTTCTTCCAGAGAGGCAGCAGGAAGAGGAGGGGCCAGGTGAGACAAGAGGACGAGGGGGAGGAAGAGGACGACGAGAGGCGGAGCGAGTTCTCCAATATGGTTAGACAGGAGCGTGTGTTGGGGAGTCCCAAGAGATGATTCTGGCTGAACTATTGGGAAAAGGCCAAACCATGAAGGGCCTTATGTCATACTCTGGAGCTAAGATTTACTCTGGGGGCAATTTGGAGTCATTAAAGAATTTTGAGCATGAATGTCACATGAGAAGCTTTGAGTGCTAAAATTCTCACTCTACAGTGAGAGTTTTGAGAGATTCCTAGTTCTCCATTTCAGGAGCTGAGCAGCTGTGGAACTCCAAGAGACACTTGGGGTCTTTATTAGCAGTGGCTCTTAATGGGGGCAGGATTCGCCTTGCAGGGGATATTTGGCAATATCTGGAGACATATTTGGTTGTCACGACATGGGACGGTGGGAGGGGTGCTGTGGGTATCTAGTGAACAGAGGCCAGGGATGCTACTAAACATCCTATAATGCACAGGAGAGTTGCCACGATGAAAAATCATCTGGGCCAAAATATCGATAATGCTGAGGTTGAGAAACCTTGTCATTGAGAGAGCAGACCTAAATGTACACGCCATCCTGATCACTAGACTTCTTTCAACCACTCTGGTAAGTGTTTAAAGCAGGGATCATGTGTCTGCATTTTCCTGGCTGTGTTTACTCTTGTCAAAACACCTGCTTTCTGCCTTCATAGGACCAATCGCAATGTATGATTTTATAATTATTACATAAACACAAACTATAGAATATGTAATTCATGTGATTTTTGCTTAATGTCCACCTCCCTGACTTGATAAAAGCTCCATGAGGAAAAGGTCACCTCATCTGTCCCAGACATCAGCAATTGGTACCCAGCTCGTAGTTAGCACTCAGTAAGTCTCGCTGTGTTAATGAGTGAAGAGTTCCAGGGAAGGGTGGGAGGTTGACACAGATGACATTGCCATATGAAAAAATCTAAGCTTGGCCTGTTATAACAGAGCTCCAGTAACCATAGAGACGATGGGTCACTTTTCACCCCCATGGAGGCTGGGGCTGACCTAACACTGAGACTTTAGGTAAGGGGCGTGGCCTCCTTGCCCAGGCCAGTGGGCCAGCTTCACCTGTGGTCCCACTCAGCCTGGATACTGAGCTAATGAGCTGGCGCTTTTGGACCAGGGAATTGCACCAGCCCTGCAGGTTTCTGCATGTCATCCTTCCCTTAACTTTTGGCCACTTGACAAAGCAGTCTGTGGAAGCATTCCTGCTGGTTGCCAGGGAGAAAGGAAGGAGCAGAAAGTGAAA